ATAGGTTTATCTAACTCTTACAGGCTTGGGATTTTTAACTTATGTTGTTGTTGAGTAAAGCCAGATAACTTTAAAGCTTATAAAACTCTATGCTGCATGGCCCCAAGGAGGAGTTAGTGGAGCACTGTCAAGTAGAACATGCCTTACCTCTAGGGCAGGTCTTCCTTTGGAGACTGGCAGTAAAAATTGCATATTCACAAGTTTTGTTGTTTTTTCCTGCTCTTGATTTGCCACACTGTCTGCAGTGATTTCTCTCTCCCTGAAGAAGGGAGAAAAGAGGGCATACTGAAATGGCAGTCTGGCAAAACTGACTGCAGAAACTTTTGTCTTAATGTGTGCTTCCCATTAGACTTCCTCTATAATGGTTGCATGCACTGCAAATTACCTAGCGATATTTTCTATTTGTGATTCAAATTATACACACAGGTTGGTGGATTTGGGGAAGTTGGTTTTTTTGTTTACTTTTGCATTTAGTCTGATGTTGAAACAAAATTATATGCTTGGTGAAGGGTGGCTGAATCAAATAACTGCTACAGTGTCTTGGATAATAACAGGTTACTAAACAAGTACTACAGTCGTCTTTTCAGTGCTATGCTTTCTTCAGTTGTTCTGGGTTGGTCTTCATCTCTTACCTTCTTACAGGCCTCTTCTGTTTTCTGGTGCCTGTGCTGTTGGTTAAACCTGTCCTAAACCGAATAGAGTATAGTTAATATAAAAAATGTGGTTGTTCTTTACTAAATAACCAAGTAGACATCTATCAATGGAATAGGAAAAGTATAATCAAATATGTGTTCTTTCTTGAAAGAACTTTCTAGAATATGGAACTCTGTGTATGAGGTTTTTAAAGCTTTTCCATATATCCTGAGCCTAATGCAGTAAAATCACAGGAAAAACAGTAGGATGAAAAATGTGCCAATGAAAAGAAGTAGAGAAAGTAATTCTCAGTCAGAATGTGCTTTATACACTTCGATTTTGCTTATTTAATTTTTTTGTAATAAAATCCCTGCGCATTAAGTTTTGTCCTTTATGTAGGTGTGTTTTTATGTGCACAGGTGTCTAGTCCAACTCATCTTAATTGTGAGAATTTGTGAGAATTTTAACTGCTTATTAGTTCTGTTTGTGTCCTTGTTTGTGCACTTAATTTAAGATGATTTTGAAAAAAATGAGAGTGCTGAGAAACAGGGAGAATATGAAATGATAATTCCTTAAGACTATTGTCTTGGAATTCAGTATTCCCTCATGTGTTAGCAGAACAACTTAGTCATATGAAAAGCAGGTAATGCAGATGTTTTAAAAGTGCTAAATCTTTTGTTTTTGTACTCATATAGGTCTCGACCTCAGTTTCAAGCCTAGGGGACGTAAAATATCCAGTAAGCTGTGACCTTAAGAGTGTAGTAATTTCCAATTAAGTCTAGCTCTTTTTTTCCCCCTCCCTCTCTTAGTTGATCCATCTGCGTTCTTTCATAGTCACATTCAAGTCACGCACATGATCTGAGGCCAGGAAGGGACAATATATATTTTTTCATTAATGGAAAAAATATATATGTGCAAACATTTCCAAAAGTCATTGAGAGCAGAGAGAAGATACTGCCATGCAGTAGGGAGACTGTTGCTTTAGGTTTTCTTTCTTTTGCCTCTTTCCTGCAAAGTTCAGGTCTTGTAAAGATCAAAAGCAGACTTTTCCTAGAAGGCTTTTGGCCTCTCCGATCATGAGCAGAAGGAATCATTCCTGAAACCAGGAAGTTGACTCTTATAGTAGAATACTGTATCTTCCATTAAATTTTTGACAGAATCGAGTAGAAATTTGTCTAATGCTGTTTTCCTATTATTTAAAACTAATATTCTCATCCGAGATAAATAGTAAATGTTAGTGTCTTGCATCTTTTGCCAATATTTTTGCAGGATTTTGCCTTATATGTTAGGTTACTAGGAATTGCCTGTAGACTAGTATAAAGTTTAGTTTGGTTTTGTTTTCTACGGTGAATGTTGTTCAACCACTAACAATGGTTAACTGTGTGAGGAAAGCTTTTTGTGTTGTAAGTAACTCATGCCTCTTTTTCTACTGATTAGGAATCAGAATTAGCAATTGGGTGTCATGACTAAGTAGAGGTAAAAGGCACTCATACCACAGGTTCATAGAAGCTAACAGTTATGAAAGGGTGGAGATGTACATGTTTCACACACACGTCTTCCTTCACTGCAGATAACCCAACCACACAATATGTGCACGTGCTAAGGTTTGTCATGATCATGTAGCTTGCTGTTTCTGTGTAGTGGCTACTGTGCAATGGACATTGAGGTCTACAGACTGGGGATCAGGGCCCTCGGGAGGAGGATGAGGAAAAAGTCTTACAGATTGGTGCGGCTATGGCCTGCTCTCTGTTGCCTCTTCTGCTAAGGACATCATTCTGGGAAGAAACAGGGTGTTAGGTGGGAAGGGTTCTGACACTGCTCTGCATTGCCTCTTTTCACAGGTCTTGTAGAACTTCATTTTACAAAACTGTCTGAACATCCGATGCCTTTGTGACTCTTTAATGATTCACATAGTAGTAAGGTAAAGGGTACATTTTCATAGAAGGTCACAGATCTTTTTTTGAAAACTTTGAAACCCACCCCCTGCCCTCGGCCACATGAATTGCCAGTACCTTCAGCTTCCTGCTTTGTCCACATTCAAGGTACCTTTAGGGAAAATAAGATGGTCGTGGTTGGGTAGTGGTAGGGCAAATGGGTTTGTGTAATCGACTCCATGGGATGGTAATATCACAGCACTTAGAAATGATGACCTGACAAGGAAAGTGCTTTTTCTTGTCCACATGAGCTCTAGATCTCATCTGAATAATGGTGATAGTGTCTGCCTGTTGGTGTGCATTAACCCTTTCTCCTCCTTCATCAGCATCGCAAAACATCTTGCTGCTGTGCTGCAGCAGAGGTATGTTCATATTTGGTGTGTCTTTATTGAGTGTGTCATGCATAGAAAACAACAGCTGAGGCATCTGGAGACCATGCGGTCATGATTATACTCAGCTTCCTAATAAATCATTTTTTTCCAATAATTTGTGAGTAGTTGCCCTGCTCTTCAAAGAGTTGTTGGCTAAAGCATCATCTAGTCTACTTAATTACCTGTAAGTAATGATGAAGAAGGCGAAAGACTCCTAACAAAAAAGGAATGTTTTGTTCATTATTTTGTTGGGCAGGAGTGAGTTAAGATGCAACAAAGGAGATGAAAGCCCAGTAGAACAGATGCTGAGAACCAGGTGGGGAATTGCCTTGAACCAATAAGGAGAGGGAAGAACCAGGGAGCTTGGTGTAAGCCCTCTAAATCTGTTGGTCGTGGGTTTACAGGGTACAGGAAAGTATGGAAAGGAAGGAAAAGAGAAAGGAGCAGAGAAACAGGCTTTTGTCTGTTAGCTCCTCTTATGATTGAAGAAAAAATCTGTAGTGAAGATTTATTCACTTGGAAGCCAGCTTGGAGAAGGGCTTAGATCCTCTTGGAAATTCTTGGAACCAGCTAAATTATTTAGATAAATGCTGTTTCAGACTCAACTCTGAAATACGTGCCTCAGATGAGTAGAGTTTATATCAAGTGACAAGCATTAAGTCTCATGAAGGAAAACCTGCCAGTTCTTTTTGGTCTTTTTGTTTTATTCATAATTAAAACCAGGCTAAAACATTGTGTGTTCTGGTAAGAATATATAAAAACACAAACCTGAACTTTTTATTGCTAGCCTCTCTGTTCTTACTTGGAGATTGCTACTTGAACTTAAATGGTTAATTTAGTTTATTATGGTCTATTCAGACTATATGGATTTCTTAATCAGTGGTTCCCTGCTTGGTTTGCCTGCAAATGTTGTCAGTTTTCATGGGGCATTTTGAAAACATTGAAGACCACTAAAGGAGATATTGTACCTGTATGTGCTTAAGTAGACAGTTCTTAGTTTTAAATTTGGCTGTACTTTGTTTAAATGTTATTTGCTTTGCTTTCGGCTCTGTTGTTATTGGTCTCAAGTAATATGCTCTTCATGTTCCTTGGTGTTCAGAGGGTCGTTCATATTCTTAAAGTGACAAAACAGGTGTATGGTGTCGTTCCAGATATATATAGTTAGATGTCTTATTAGAGCTTTCAGTACATGGGGTGCCTGTAAGTACATTGAAAAGTATGCTTGACCTTGGACAAGCTTGTGCCTTGTATATGGGAGTTTTGTTTTTTTTTTAACTCCCAATTGTAAACACAAATTTGTAGCCCAAAAATTATTTGATTGGAAAGAGGGGAATAGATATTTATTTGCCTGTCTGGGGAGGACTGTGAATGCAGGATGTCTATTACTTCCTTATTGCACTGTTAGAGGAGATCTTTTAAGCATTAATCGTTTTCATTGTTGTTTAGAAAAGGATGTTGCTAATCGTCTAAGACACTCACAGTTCTAAGAAAAGAAAAATCCTAGGAAACACTTCCTTTTCAGAAGCATGATACAGAGCAACTCAAGGCAACGTGGCCTACAGCCAGCAGAGTTGAGGCATAATCTGATTTGTTTTGTCATGTGGAAGAATCAGTTTAAAATGGATACGCTGCGGCTCTCTTGGTACAACATTCTAAGGTTGTAAAGACCTCAGCAATGTTAAACAACTGAGAAAGTCTGGATGTTGTAATAAATGTTTACTAATGTATTTAAGCAATCATAAAGAAAATGGTTATTGAGTAGATGTTGTAGGTAAACAACACATGGTGGTCTGTTTTAACTAGAAGCCTGATGTAATGGCTGTTTTTGCTCATCAGAAGATGGATAATTCCCTCCATACTTGGTCTTTGCAAATTGTTGCTTGCTGTAGGCTAAACGAAGACAAGCTGTTTGATATTTGCCTTGTAAATAATAAATGCTAAGAACAGGATGTATGTGATTCTGAAATATATGAAGCCTTACATTAATGTCTAAATGTATACATTCATCTATGACTTTGCTTATGTATTTGATTACAACTGGAACTTTTCTTTTTTCCTTCAGGGAAACTGTATCAATCTGACTGATGCCTTGACTCAGTATGAAGAACAGCTCAGCAGACTCTATTGTCCTGTGGAATTTTCAAAAGAAATCGTATGCGTTCCCTCCTACATGGAACTGTATCCTTGAAGACTAAAAAAAGTGCATATTAATATATATATATATATATAGTGAGTCTAGACTGCTTAGAGGTAACAAATTTAAATGGAAGAAGACAGATGGCTATTAATGATTTTTCATAGCAAATGAATGACTGTAGGGTCATTTTGAAGGGTGATGACTGCGGTAATTATTTTGTAAAGGTGCCATTATTTAAAAAGTACTGAAGTGCTCTCTAGCTTTCAAGGCCATGTCATACTTTCCTTAATTTCTTAAATGTTGACAAGTGTATTGTTTATACAAAGCAAGACAATCTTTATGATTATTCTTTGAGAAACACTAGGAGTTTGAGTAAGCCTCTACCTTATTTCTCATTTGTGGAAAAATAAAAAAGTAATCTCATAGAGCAACATGAAACATCTGCAGATATTCTCTAATAGCATTATTCCAGACTATGTCTTGAGTTGGATATTAATGAAAAAAAATCCTAAAAATCATTGAGCCTTGCTAAAAAATCTAAATGGAGGGGAACAGACACTTTTATCTGCGATAAGTGAAAGAAGGGCTTCTTGCTATTTTTAAAATTTTTCTTTTTGTCCCCAGTCCTGAAAGTATTCCTTAGAATTTCTTAATTTTATGGTAACAAATAAGTTATGCAAGGAGTTAGAAATTGTGTCTCCATGCGTTTAGTTCTAAAAAGACATTTTGATGTAACGTTGGATAGTTTTGCTGGGTGCATGTATCTTAGATGTTGCAAGCGATCTCCTTGGAACTATCTCCACAGCTCTCCATTTTCTGGTCTCAGGGTCTGCTTATTTACAATGCTAAGCCTATGAAATCCTGCCATAATATTTCTTCTGTTTCCTGCAGGCATTTATCTTCCCCCACCACGCCCTTGAATCTTGAAACTGTCTTAATGTTGTAGCCTTCTGTTGTGGATGCTTTGCTAACTGCTCCTTCTGTTAGAAGGCAGAAGCTCCTTCTATTTCTCATTACTGTTAGGTTTCCAGTGAAATTCAGATTTGTTACTAAAAACATTTCCAAGACAAAAAAGGCTGAAATGAAGTTGATATGAAACTATTTACTTTGGCTTATGTTACAGATATACTTGATTAGTTATTGTTGTCTTTAATTACAAATACAACATACACAGTTGTTTGAATTGTGTGTTCTCAGAAAGTTCTCTAAATATTTATTGCATTGTTTATCCAGATGCAGGCAAAATGCTTCTAAATGAAGCGGGTATCATATATGACTTCATTTCTTTGAAAAATAAATGTCTCTAAGCTAACAAATAGGAAAATTTCTGGATATTAAATAAGCATAAAGATGTTAAAAGTAAGCTGGTCATATTTCTCTGAGAGTTGTTTTTAGTTTGCTGTTCTGACTGCATTGTTATCCTATGAAATAGCAATATTCATACGAGAATATTAAGAGGAGTTGATGACTTCAGATCACAGAATATTCAAGGTTGGAAGGGACCTCTACAGATCATCCAGTCCAACCTTCCTGCTCCAGCAGGCACACCTAGAGCATGTGGCACAGGGCGGCATGTAGGCGGGTTTGGAAGACCTCCAGAGAAGGAGACTCCACAACCTCCCAGGGCAGCCTGTTCCACTGCTCTGTCACTCTCACAGGAAAGAAGTTCCTCCTCACCTGGAGATGGAACTGCCTGTGTTTCAGCTTATGCCCATTTCTCCTTGTCCTATCGCTGGCCACCAATGAAAAGAGCTTGTCCCCTTCTTCCCTGCCTTCTCCCTTCATGAACTTATGCATGTTAATCATATCCCCTCTCAGCCTTCTCTTCTCCAGAGAAAACAGGCCCAGATATCCTATTGCAAAGTAAGATGTGCAGTAACAAAACTCTGGTTTATTCTTTAAATTGTTCTTCAACCTCTGATGTACCTTTTTTTGCCTTTCAAGTAGAAGTTACCAGCCTTCTTAAAATTTAAGAAATTTCCAAGCAGATATCATACACTTGAATGGGAAGTTATACCTGAATGCAGTTTCAGAGGTGACTGTGAAATGCAATTGTTTACATTAATGTTGCGACCAAAAAAAGGCTTCTAAAGGCTTCTATTTCTCACTGGACATTGTAATGTTTGTTAAGTTCTTGAAACCTGTGAGACGTCAGGTTGTTACTTCCTTTGGAAATAATAGGTTTTTTTAATCTGACCAAACATTATCTTCAGGGTTTCCTGAATGCAGTAGAGCTACTGGATTATTGCTTTTATTTGTTACTTATTTTTGCATACTTGCAGGATTTGAATTCCAAGTAAAATTACATAGGAGTGTTTGTCAGTGTTGCAGTGGGAATGAGCTGAAATTCGAGAAGCTGTGAACACAGATACTAAAACTCAGTATTTTAAGGAAAGTGTATGTGTCACCGAGGTCACTACTGGAAAACTGTGCTGAACATTCAGGCACCCATCTGGACCACATATGACCTCACTATGCTAATAGAAGAGACTTGGAGAAAATTGGGCAAAATTTATATGTATCTGTCTTTTCGAGAGAGAGTTCAAGAGACCCCCTTCTGAGGCATTTTACCACAGTGAGTGGAGTGGCTGACACTCCTGAGGACTGTGCACAGACCTGGACAGGCTGGAGAGTTGGGTAGAGAGGATCAACAAGGACAAGTTCAGGGTCCTGCATCTGGGGATGAATAACCCTGGATACCAGGTTAGGGCTTGACCTGCTAGAGAGCAACTCTGTGGAGAGAAATTTGGGAGTCCTGGCTGACAAGAAGTTAACCATGAGTCTGCAGTGCCCTCGTGGCCAAGAAGGCCAATGGGATCCTGGCTGCATCAGGAGGATGTTGCCAGCAGGTCAAGGGAGGTGATTCTGCCCCTCTGCTCAGCTCTGGTGAGGCCGCACCTGGAGTATTGGGGGCAGTTCTGGGCTCCCCGGTACAAGAGGGACATGGAGCTTCTAGAGGGTCCAGCAGAGGGGAACAAAGATGATTAAGGGACTGCAGCATCTCTTCTATGAGGATAGACTGAGTGATTTGGGCCTGTTTCCTCTGGAGAGGAGAAGGCTGAGAGGAGGGGATCTAATCAACATGCATAACAACATCTTCTCTCTGAGGGGGGAATGTAAAAAGGATGGGGCCAAACTCTTCTCTGTGGTGGCCAGTGACAGGACAAGAGGTAATGAGTCTAAGTTGCAACACAGGCAGTTCTATCTCCATGTGAAGAAGAACTTCTTTCCTGTGAGGGTGCCAGAGCCCTGGCACAGGCTGCCCAGGGAGGCTGTGGAGTCTCCTTCTCTGGAGATCTTCCAAACCCGCCTGGATGCCGCCCTGTGCCCCATGCTCTGGGTGTCCCTGCTGGAGCAGGGGGAGATTTTGACTAGATGGTCTCTGGAGATCCATTCCAACTTTAATCATCTTGTAATTTAAGAGATGGTAGGCACTTAAATTTTTACCTGAACACTCAGTGTTCTGCTACTGAGTGTCTTAGTATTGCCTGCAAATCAGCTAGCTGGAGTCACTTGGCTCTTCAGTCATGCTTCATGCTGAAGAAGATGAGGTAGAGGGATCCCACCTTGGTGGGTACCTCATTAAAGACCTGGAGTTTTGATTACTTCTTGCAGGTTTTTTTCTGTACTTCATTCAGTGGTTGCAAAATGTGCAGCCTGATTCTGCACTGGGGATTAGAATCAATGGATTTGCAATTGACTTAAATTTCAGTAAAAATTAGGTGCTCTTTTAAGTTGTTGAGAAAAAAAAAGATGATCCAGGGAGATTTCACTTTGATATTTTAATGTACCCCGTCACTACAAGATACTACAATTTTCCAAAATTGAAATGCAAGTAAAAAGAACTTACTTCCATTTTAACTGTGTACTACACCTACTGCTTTTTGTTTTTCCTTGACTGCTCATTCTTCTCTAGATGGGTATTCTACACAATTTGGAAGAAACATGTGGAAGCCTGAACATCAAGGTTATTCAAGATTATCCGAAGCGTACATGCTGCATGGAGCATATAGGCCTGCCACGTGCTGCATATTGGCATCTTGAAACTTTAAATTATATGCTGTAGATGATCCTGAAACTTAGTCATGCTATTGATTGTGAATTCTTTAAATGTTTTTTATTATTATTTTAATTTAAAAGGAAATGGAAAATGTATATTTTGATGAGCTAGGGTGTTATTTTTGAAAGTCAACGTAAAGATGAATAAGCAGCAAAACTCTATAGCTGCTGAATGCACTGAACCTTTAGAATGTGATCCTTTTTATTTTTTGTAGAACTTCACAAACTGATTGATTAAAAACCAACATCTTTAGCATTTCATCCCTGAGGGTGGTCCATGGAGTTTTTGTTTTCTGTTTTGTTTTCCCATCAGATTTCTAATTATGGTGCTTTTTAAGGGTAGAAGAGTGGTTCTTTTTTTGTTTATAATTTGAAATTGAACATTGCAGTGCTTCCATATAGAAAAGAAGGGCATAACTTAAACGGGGGGAGAAGGAATCCTGTGAAAGGATACCCAAAATCCTACACTTAAAAGGGAAGAAAGCTAATCTTGAATTTTGTTAGTTTACTTACTCTAGTTTCATTCATCATACTGTTGTGATCTCTGCTGCAGCAAACAAGTCTCTGACCATTTTCCTCATGGTGTTCTTTAGCAGATATATTGGTATTTGGGGTTTAATATGAATTAAACAGTAAGCTTATAGAGGAACTTTGAACTCCAGCAGTATGAAAATGAATACTCATTATTTTCATCCTGCCATAAAGCAAGAAACAGTGTAATGAGGTTTCTGTGGTCATATAATCCTCAGCTTTATGGGAAGCATTAGGTTCTTGAAGAATGAAAAGTCATTTGGGAAGGAAGACTAGATGTGATCTAGATTCATATGCAGCGTTGCTTCAGTGATTTGGAGCAAATACGTATAATTCATTAGGGCAAGTCCTGGTTCTGTTGTTGCAAGCTGACAATGTTGTGTGGGGCTTTTGCTCTCCTACATTCACTTGCACGTTACAACTCACTGGAAGATAGGTTGCGTTGTAGGTTTTGTTCTGAAAGATGAAACATTTTTCTTTAACTGTTATTCATGTTGTCTGAAAAGTTCTATTTTTGTAAGAAGTGCTGTTTACTAACTAAAACTCTGCTTTAGTGTTCAGGAGATTCCGCTTGAGAGGAGGCCAAAAAATATACCCTTTCTGTACATTTCCAAGATAGAATAAAAAGTGTACTACTTCACTCAACACTCTAATCTTGAACCAAAATGATACTCTTGACGAGAACAAATAAAAATGCACACCCAGGGTCTGTATTGTTAAGTAATGAATAAAGAACAATTTTACTGTATCCCACATATAAACTAATGATGAAATCTGAGTAGGTCATTTAGAATTTGAGTGATGTTGAAAGACTTCCAAAAATTTGCTCTGCATTTGATGTGTAATTATTTTTGCATGTACAGTTGTGCTGTTAAAGTGCATTCAATTTGGAGCACTAGGAGAATAACTCTCCATTCTTACTATTTTAAGTGATTGCAGTCAGTGTTAATTCTTCAGTATACATTGGGCCCTGTTGTTCCATGGCCTACAGCCTGTGTATCCATTACTGATTCAAAGAGCCTCCCTCTTCAGCAAGAGAAGTCTTGTGTTTCCCCAAGTGTTTTAGTTGTATCTATGCCAGAAAATACCTTGAAACTATTGCCTATAGCCTATTAGCAACTGCTCATTTATGATATGGGACTGCAAACAATATATTGTATAGAGTGCAAATTAATGCACATGTCCTGTAGACAATTGTATGTATCCTTAACTTTGTGTACATGAAAACTCCCATTAATTCTGTGTGTGGTTACTCATGTAGCTAGTATTAAGCACACAGGTGTTCCCTAGGACAGGGCTTGCAGGATATATTTTCCTGAGTAAGCTGGAGAAATAGAAATTGGGTGCAACAAATAGATGGGTGGTAGGTTGTTTTTTGTTTGGCTGTTTTTGTTTTGTTTTTGTTGTTTTTCATTTTTGAAACTTATGAACTGGAAGATGGTTTAGTACAATTGCTGGCTTGTTCTACCAAGGCTAGCGTTTTTGTTTTGCTAAGATGCACAAAGCTGCCTCAACACAAAGGTTTTGGCATAGGGAGATGTTCTGTAATCAGTTCCTTGGATGACCAGGGGGCTCAAATTTGGTGGGTTAGATTGTTAAGAGTGAGAGGCAGCAGTGCTTGCATTTTTTTTTTCAGTTTTTATAGTGTAAAGAGACTGAAAAAATTACTTTTTTCTTCAGACTTTTTAATGTAGTTTCTTTTAAATTGTTAGCTAAAGTATAAAGCAATTCAGCACACACTTAACATTGCTTTCTTATTTTTTTAAGTTGCTGAACTGGTTTTGAGGAAATATATATGCATTGTCAGTTTTATTTATTTGTTGCTGTAGTAGGAATTACAAAAGGTAGAATTTTCAAAAGCAAACTGCAATAGCTGACCAGTTTATCCACATTTAAGGCCAGTTGGGAAATAGCTATGATAGCCACACTATGTATGCAAACAATTTCCAAGAAGTGGTTGACATGAATTTTTTTCAATTATTCTTTGCACTAAATGCTGCTTCCACCTAGAATGTGATTTAAAAAATATAAAAACTTGATTGATAGTAGTTTGTGCAAAGAGAAGATTGCTGGCGTTGTATCTGCTGCATCAGAGCAGTGCACATTTTAAAATAAAGGTACGCTGTTATTACTTGTCTGTTTCAGTTGTTAACTACACCACAGATGCAGGATTAAGTGACAGAAGTAGTGGGCATGATGCTTACCATTGTACCTCTTTATTCTTTTTCCTTTTGCCCCTCTGTTTGTCGCTTAGCAAACACAGAGGTACTTAATGGTCCTTCTACTGAATATGCCTTTTCTGCTTCTCACAGTTTAGTGGTTTCAATTCTTTCTACTCTGGAGTGTGGAGCAGCACTCTGTTGGCAGCATGAAGATGACTGAGGCTTTACAGTGGTTGTTCCTGTGAAATACTGTGGAATACCGCAGTGTGACTTCTTTGGAGCTCTGTGAAAGACTTCCTCAAAGCCTTGCTGCTCGAGTGGCTGTGACTCAGCATGTGGCACGAAGAAAAGAGAGGTGCAGAAGAAATAAATGAGGCATTGAGGATGACGCCAGCTCTCAAGCAGGACCTTGAGGAAATGGAGAAGGGCATGAGTGGGACAGGCAGCTTGGAGGAGTTGCTTGAGGGGATGATTGTGGGAGAGTGTCAGACAAGGAGAGCCTTCTGAGAGAAGGTTTCTTGTAGATACTTAGGTAAACTAGCTGTTTGTAAAGGAGAAATATTTGTACCTGCTCTCAATAAGAGCAAGTGACTTGGTAGCTAGAGGGGGCAACTAAATGTATAAGAAAAGTCCTGCATACAGACTTTGTGAGGGGAGGATGAGTAATTTTACAGTGCCTATATGTGCAGTGGGGAAGATGAGTATCCTTCTCCTTTTGGCTTTGAGATTTTGTCGGGCTGCTGAAAGGAAAAGGCTGATGAGACAGGTGAAGGAAGAGAAACACTTGATTTCTTGTTTCACATCTTAATTTAAACGTAGGAGACTGCAGATGATATGCCTGAGGAAGATAGGAGGAAGTTTCCAGATAGAGCAAGAAAGATGTATTGGTAATTATTGATGGTGATACTGAAGGAGCAAGTGAGAGAAGCAGCAGCAAAGGAGATGAGTGTGGGAGTGAATTAATAGTACTGAGCCACATAGCAGTGCAGGACAGCTAAACCTTGGGCCGAAGGAAGGAAGGAGGGAACGGAGATGGTGGAAGAGAGGGTCATAGGTGAAGTTCAGGTAGTGGCTATAGGTGCACTTCAGTGAACTTGAGCTTCAGAGGCAGAAATTGAGAAGTAGAGGGTAAGAAGGAAAAATACAAACATCTTTATATGGGGAATCATTAGTATGATTCTTCAGTGCTTGAAAAATTACGTGCAAGACAGAAGGGATTCAGACCAGTTAATGTGAGGAGCAATTGGGAGAATGAGGCAGCGAGAGGAGTGGTAAGTGAGGAGAGCACAACAGGGGGCAAGGATTGCCTCTGGAAATCCAGACTACGGGAGTGCTAATTATACTGCCTTGTTTTTCCTCTGTAGATATCTGGGGGAGAACAAATGGAGATGTGAAATGAATTTTTAACTGAGGAATTATTAGAAGATGACTGTATCATTTAACTGTATCATAGGTTTTCATTGTACATATGGGAGACTGGAAGGCACAATTGCACCAGTCATCTCTCCGCTGCCCTCAGCTCTGCAAATCAGAAAGGCAGGCCCGAACCAGTAAGTGTATGAAAACAAAAACCATTGCTACAGCCATTGGGGTTTTCTTAAGTCTTGCTTGACTTTAAAGTGCTGTGACAACTTTATTGTGTATTGTTTGGAGGGACAATGGGTTGCATGACCACAGTGATAAATACACAACACATGCAATGTGCATTTTGCCTATGCGGCACTCCTAGTGTGATTTATTTTGAAAGACAAGAGCGTTGGGTTTTATTGATGTATAATGGAAACATCTTAATGTCTGGATAATCTTTGTATATACAATGGGATTTTTAAGCAACACTTGTAGTAGATGAAAATAACACAGCTTGAGTATTTGCAGCTTTGTGAAGCCTTTCTAACTGTTAACTGCCTAATCTTGTGATATGTACTTCCCTGTTTAACTTTAGTTCATTATCAGAGCTAATACTTTTGCTCTTTATTTTTTTCATATCCTTCGTAGTCTAATTCCTGCTCTTGAGTCTCACACTGAAACATTCTGGGAAATAGCTAATTAATGATTGGCTTCTTATGTGGTGCTTTTCTGTTCCCCATGACACTTTACAACCACTGATTAGTTTTTTGGGCTGACGGAATGACTGAAAAGGAGGCAACAGTATTTCATGGTACCTTGTTGAAACCCTAATGAACACTGGCAAGAAGACAGGCAAACTCTCCAGTTCCCACAGCTGGTACACAAACAAAATAAACTGTGACTACAAGCTACCCTGACACTGTCCTGTGTAGCTAACAAAAGTATGTTTTTCTTTTCACAAAGTATATCCAATCTTAGCTCTTGATTTGCTACCCTTCTGCTCTGGGCACCATACCTTATCTCCCAGCTCTTTCATGTAGGCTACAGGTACAAAGGGAGCTGAGGGAAGATGTTGGCTATTTGAAGAGGTGATGATGGTCTGGCATGGATAGTGTGATGCTGTTTTTCTATTATATGCACTTTTTATAATCCCACACACTAAATGGAATATCAGCTAGTAGGATTTAAGGACCCTCAAGCAGAAAGTCTGGCTGAAGGCAGCTACAAATCTTATATGGTGAGGGAGGGGAGGGCTAGCAGAATGTGAACAGCATTATACTTATGGATACCAACCACTTGCTCAGCCTATTGCATATCTAGACCTTTGCATCAAAATTAGGATATTGCATGTACGTCTAGTACTGCAAAATACCGTATGGCAGTGCTGTATTCCAGTAATCAGCCTCCCCTCAGTGATATGTGCCAATTTTGACAAGTCTTAACATAGTGGTACTCTAAGACAGAGCCCAGACCCTAAGTGAGATATGGAAAGCTTGCCTCTTAGTCCAAAACCTTTGGCACGTAGAATGATGGGATGTCACTGTGTATCATCATTCCCAAGCTATGTATGTGCAGCTGGGCCCAGTGTTTCTTATCTCTTGTAAGGATGGACCACATACAGTGGTGGAAACTGGTGGCCAAGAGGAGGCTGCTGTTCTCACCATAGGGACAATCCATGTCCCCTGCAGCCTGTTTCCAAGTTCCCCACTGTGGGATAATACTGGTGACCTGAATTGCTCTGGAGGACCGTGTGCCAGCTGGATGTGGAATGCCTTTGTAGCCTAGAAAATATGGTAATACTTTACGTGTGAGTGACTGGGAATACAGAAGCGAGAGAATTTATATAGAGTGGTCATCAAGGTCCCTGGGAGCGGAGACTCATTAAAAGTGAAGAGTCCTAATGATTTTTAGGTTGTTGGCTGCTTAGCCTGTACACACAAAAATCCAGCTTTTGCCATCATCTTGGGTGGCAGTAATTATACCAGATTTAGCTCGAGAGCAATTGGAGAGTTGAAATGTAGCAAAACCCTCCTGCATGACTTGTGTATTTTTATTCCATGGGTTGTGTTAGAACTACCATGAATAAGTTCATAAGATGGGCTTAACTATTAGGTTTGTTAGGAAGTATAATACCCCTTGTTCCACAGGACTTCTATTTCTGGATGTGCTTTAGATATAACATGGAGAAATACATGAAAAAATAATTTGCTACGGCTTCTCAAATATCCAAGTTATTTCAGGCTTGTTTGACTGGATGGAAAAAAAAAAAAAAAAAAAAAAAAAAAAAAAAGTTATGCCAAACAGTTTCTTCAGTCCTACAGCGGTTGTGTGAGGGAGTTGCTTAAAAGTTTTTTTTTTTTTCTGGAAGCAGTGCCATGTGAACAATCCCAGCATCTTCTCTGTGCTCCCAAGTCTTCATTCTCACCCAATGAGGGTGCTGCAGCTTATGGATACCCATGAGGCTAACTGATTTGGCTTAAAAGTAAGCCAAGAGAGAAATTAAAACGAGCATGGGAACTTGTCACACTTAAACCACACTGCTGAAATAATGAATGGGAGAAAAAAAAAAGCAGCATCAGGAATAACTTATATGGTTCATTGTGTAGCCAGACAATTGTGCTGGCAAACTGGGCATGGGAACTTGCAATGGAGTGGCACAAGTGTTAGGTCTGAGGAGGGCAGATGGATGCAGGAAAAACATTCAAAATAAAGGTCTTGAGATCTTAATTTAGACC